ACAGAGATCTATAGTCAGCAACTGGAACGTTCAAATTAAGCCCCTCATCAGAAACGCCTTTTACTCATCAATCGGAAAGGTGTTCTTCTTCTCCACGACAATGCACGTCCACATGTGACACGTTTGACGCAATACAAGATTATGGAGTTGGATTGGGAAGTTCTCCCCCACCCACCATATTTTCCAAATATGGACACCATCTTTTTGTTTGCTGCAACATCGTCTTGATGGGAAAACGTATGCAAATGTGGAAAGTGTATCGACATGTTTTTTTACTTCAAAGCCAAGTGATTTCTTAAATCAGGACATTAACAATCTGATTGTAAGATGGAAAAGCATCATAGATAAAAATGGAGACTGTTTCATTTAATAAATGTTTTGTTTTGATATACAGGTTGTTCGAGTTTTTTCATCTAAAAAAAGTGACATTAATTTCTTGACGACCTAATATATCATTTATTGTTAACTCTGTTCCTGAACCAACAGGTGAAATAAAATATAACCCAAGTTTACAGAGACACAGAAATTAGTGAGGTGAACTATCACATTATAACAACCTCACGGCTAAAAGAGCAAGCATATTTGGCGTCGAGTTTCGATCCCGCGACCCGCATATAGCGTGTCGAGCCCCCTAACCACCAGGCCAAAACCTTTAATTTACTAATACTGCTATTCAACATACATCATGTAAGTTCCAAAGCGCCCTTGTGTTGTGATTAGAAAATGTGTACATTATGTTACAAGATGGCTGGTAGAGGTTCTCAGGAACAGAAGTTGTCAGAATGAAGCATTAAGAGAAAATAACAACTGTTGACTATAATTCATCTTGGTGCTGAAACAGGTGCATTTAATGGGAATAAGCATATCTGAATTCGAGACTTTTTAAAAGAGCGACTTCCGAACAGAAAGTCACAAGTCCAAGTAGGCTAACTAATGCCCGTTTAACCATAATGTGTTGAGTTAGGTGTTCTATCTGATTAAGAGCTCTTAAGTATTTGGAAGCTTGTACGTTCAAATAACTTCAACTACGAGTGTATTTTGTTCACGAAAATCACGTAGTTTACTCATACTTAATAATGTAAAACTACCTTTCCTGCATTGACGAGTATATAAGTAGGTTTAATTGACTTTTACTTGCTAGTTTAGCGTTGTGTTTTCTGCATTAAGGATTATACGCAGACTTAACTGATATTAAATTGTTAGTGAAGTATTGCAAGCCCTCTAACGAGAATACGTAAGATTGATTAACTTACATTTGATAATAGTGAGACATTCCTCGTATTAACGAATACAAAAAAGACTCGATTTACGTCAGCTTACTAATGTGCATTGCGTGTTTTTCTAATCTAATAACTTAGAGCTGAATTGCATAAGATTTAATGGCTTCGTATGTTCACTGAACTTAGCCCATCATACCTAATGCTTGTGGTTTATTTCTTTTTTGGAAAGATAAAATCAGTAAACATGTGTTGTTGATGAAACAAAAAGAAGAGAACTGAGTTAGCTGAATAAAAGTTTACTTTCATTTTATGGGCCAAGTTCAGTAAAAGGGCGTATTCTATTGTGAGTATGTTTGTATGTGTGTATCAAAAACAAAAACTAGGAAAGTCACTATTTCATTGTGTGAAGTACTGATGAATTCATCTGGCTTTACTCGAACATGTAGTTCCTGGTTAGATAAACACAAGTAATTAAGAAGTAATAAAAACAAACAAACGTGAGTCGTACTTATTGTCATTTCTAGAAGAAATCAATAAGTCTTGAAGGCTAGAACTTGAGCTTTATTTGATAGTAATGCTTTATTTTAAAACTAACTTTTCCTTAAGGTTTGCCTTCTGTTTGTATCTATTATTTATAAGTACTAGTATAAATACCCGCGCTGCCTGCAGGGTTTTAAACCCCACTCATGTTTCACGGAGGCTATAATTTACCGATCAAGCTCCTTCATTATCCCCAATTAATCCTTTAGCTACCCCATGGAAAGTCTACCTGAAATCCTATTCTTAGACCTCCACTATGTAGAGTGACCTTCCAGACGCGTTTTGGCCCTCCTTACCCCTATATGGATAAGGACATCCCTAGAGCCACGCCAAGTCCTTATGCCAAGTTGAGTCCTGCTAGCTCCTTAAATAAAATAGGGTATGATATACATTTGTTTCGCTTTACAGTATTTACTTATTAGAAAAGAATGATTTAAAACACTTTAAAACGAAATTTTCTGTTTCAGATTCTGCTAGGTCAAAAATAAAAAATAAACGGGAAACTAGGAATTTGAATATCGGAGATGAATTTCATCGTAATTTTAATAATTCCTCCAAAATGCGCTCCAAACGCTCAGTGTCTTTTGAGCGAAATGTGGAGGTGTTGGTTGTTGTTGACAGGCAGATGGCTGATCAATACCGTGAAGAGTTACGTCACTATGTCCTGACGTTAATGTCAACGGTAGGTACTTATTTGTTTATGACAGTTTTTATAAAGTATCACGAAATTAACGACGTAACCAGAAGCATAAGCATGTTACACCAATTTTGATAAATTTGCCATCTAATGATGATATGGTGGAATATAAATATGATATTACTGGAATTAGAAAAACATCTTACATTGCCTGAATGAAAAAGATAACTTTTAGCATTGGAAAACATCAAAATTTGTACAGGAAAATTAAACCCAATGATTAATCATATTTTTTAATCATATTTGTCATAAGACATTAGTATTAGGCATATTTTATTACTGATTCCTTTTAGTCCCTAAGGTGTTTTCAATAATTAAAAGAGTGTATAATACTAGTATTTCAACCACACATTATTCGCCATATCCATTGCCGATGACGTAATCCAAAGTTCATCAGGCCGACTGGTACACAAAAAACACTGTTTATATAAGGCATTTGTTACAGCAACAGTTGTTATGTCCCGGACGCTTTTTTCATGCTTGCAGAAGCATGATTATGATTAATTATAATTGTCATAAGACATTAGTATTAGGCTTATATTTTTTTAACACTATTGTTGTGTCCCAAGCTCTGGATTGAGCGAGACACGTCGTCGGTAATCGATGTGGCGAACATAGTGTGTTTCAAATACTGTTATTATAATACATTCTTTAATTCTTAAATACTTAGATAAATAATGTAATGTTAAAATATAGTAGGCCTAATACTAATATGTTTGTAATTTGTTACTCAGAATGTTACATCAAAGCGACAACCATATATACTGAACGTAACCAAGTCTAATGGCTCTTTATTTCAAGAAACTGAAAAATATGTGCTGTAATTACACAAGAGGAAGTACATATAAATATTGCGACGATGATATAATAGTATATGACGCATTCACGAAATTATCAAACTTAAAGACAGTTATTCAGATTATTTCTGGTGTCTGCTTTGTAGGTCACTTTCCTATGCAACTTAGTTATTTTGATAAATAGAAGGATGTATTTACATTCTGAGTTACCGAGTTAACTTTACATTTCGACTACATTATTTAATAATATTAATACATAAAATGACAATCTAATCTGTGCCAAATTCATCACTGAAAAAAATATCATTTTAGTTAAGCTTTCGTTTTTGTGATAATAGGGGGATCTGCAATTCATCGATATAAAAACACACTACTAACAATTGCTGGGTTACTTGTGTTATCAAATTGAATATACTTATAATCTAGCTTTGATAACAAGGAAAGTGAAAATTCACTCAGATATGTTTCGTCATTTTGTTGAAAAAACGTTAATGTGAAGAACAATCCATAGAAAAATTATTCAGTATGTTATCGTGCGTTTTAGTTTATTTTGTCAATTTTGTTAGGGTACGGTTTAAGAAACAGTTAATGTTTTAAAAACATACATAAACAAATATACGACATAATCTGTACAATAACCTTATGTACAGCCCAGTTGTTCAAAAGTAACAGTACATTATGACAAATGTACGATCACAAAATACAATAACTGAATAAAGTCTATATCATTTGTTAAGTTTCATGTTGTTTTTCGACTTATTATACTTAATATGTAAGCAAAGCTTGTAGTTAACAAATGGTTGAGTACGTTATGTTAAAACAATTTTCAATATACAAATCAAGTTACGTAACAACTACAACTGATATAAAGTCGAGGTAGAATGGAATGTATCAGCACTACATTTTGACATTTCTTGGCATTTCGCAGGGAATATAAAGCAAGATATTCATACACTGAGATAATTAAGATGTGCTAAGATCGGAGATTAAAAATTTGTAAATAGTAATATTCATTGTAGTTAATAGCATTGGAAAAAGGAATATAGATCACCAGGACCATCCAGAAAGAGATCTGCAGTTAGTTATATCCCTGTTATGGTAAGCAAAGTGAGGCATCTTGTAACAAATATAAATCTATGAGCACTAAACTCAGTGGCAAAGGCCATCTTCATGTTCCAGGCAATAAAATCAAAGAAGATCTTCGTCTGGATTTACCAAGATAAGGTATCCAGTTATAGCTCAAGCAGCTAGAAGGTGAAATGGGTAATCATACTACTCTACACGAAAACATGCCTGTGAATTCTTTGGACACAGTGCTTATAGATTTCTATGCGATCTCGCACTGTTGAAACGGACATTGAGAAATGATGTCTGGAAAGCATGCAAGTAGAAGGTTTACGTGTTTAACAAGACAGTTTTTTGCAATAGAAACTGCGCTTTCAGGACTATTGTGCAGATACACAGTTGTCAGACGGAGCATGATCGTACGTGGTGATATGTATTGTAATGAGGCTCCAAAATTGTTTTAACATATCGTACTTAACATATGTGCAAAAGGCCACTAAAATATGCAATAAGCAAAACAAAATAAAAAATGAAATTACATTTTTCAAACTGTCCTTGTCTGTGTTATTTTATACTTGTTTGTTTCCATAGGTTGCAACAATTTACAAGGAACCCAGTCTTGGAAATTTCATCAATATTGCGGTGGTGAAACTGGTTACACTAACTGAAGAAGAGGTACTATCATAAATTTATACATGATGTCTTAATGAGTTGAAACATAAGGATCTTAGAAGTGTTATCCGCAAAGGTTTCTTATGTCACATTCATACTGCTGACAAAGTTTTGTCATTAAGCTAAACAGGAATAGCGACACATATTCAGTACGGACCATAACATTTGTATAATTCAGCGAAACGTCTGTCCTACATATTGACTAAAATCTCCATTTTTCATCAAAACATCGGTGAGGAACATTCCTTTGACTACAATTGATTTAAGTTTTTAGAACATAATTTTGCCGCACATTCCATCATAAAAAAATGATTGATTACGAGCATTATCCACGAGAAATTTATTAAACCTACACGAAAATTCGCTTGATCAATGGCCTCAAGGCGCAAATCCTAGACCTCTGTAGCCCAGACCAATATATTGTCTTAATTTCTAACTAATTGATTTACGCTTTTACACACATAATTTTCGCTTTGAATATCTAAAAATCGTCACCGACATCATCTCGCGATTTGCAGTTACATTATGACAAAAATTTTATATTCTATGTACGCCACATAAAATAATGTAAGTGATATAAAACATACAGAAAGTAGTCTCGTTGTGTACATTGAAACATAACAACACTATACAGCATAAACTTACCCGTGCACTTGTATAACTTGTAATTTCTGTAAATTATATCTATTTTGGTATTAGCTTGATTTGTAATTATAGGATCGGGAAATCATCCATTCAAGTGCTTCAAAGACATTACGTAGTTTCTGCCGCTGGCAACGGATAAACAATCATGACGACGACAGCCATCCCCATCATCATGATACTGCTGTTTTGATCACAAGGTACGGTTTTCTACAGTAGGCAATGGTATTTTTCATTCTTCTAATTTACTATATAATACTTTCTTACTTTCCTTAATTACCATGCTACACTCCTGATCATACGAAAAATGCTTCTTTATCTGGTTTATAATAATTTATAACTCGATAGATAAGATCTTGCCTTTGTTTATAATACTTATTATTAAAACTGGTATAGTATAAGGTTTTTATATCCTGGTTATTGGTGATTTCTACAGTCCGAACTCAATAGATAAGATCTTACTTTGGTTAGTAACATTTACTGCCATCCTAAGTACAAGATTTTCCTGAGTGATTAGCAATATTTTTTCTATTTGGATTTTTCTATATAACGATACTTACATGATAGTTACTACTGGTGTAACTGACTAGATGACATTTTCTTACCTTACTTAACAATGCTTACTCTGTCCCTCAAGAATGACAAACTTGGCCAGTTGAAAATGTTCTTTTTTTATATTTTGTTTCTTGTTTAATATTTTGCGCATTGCAATACTGATATATTATGCACAAAATAGTTCTTTAAGTACCTTTTTATCTAAGTTAATAATGTTTACTCTAAACTTGTTCACGTGATAGGTTATCTTGTCTGTTTTACAAGTTTGGAGTTGTTTTTTCGGCAAATTTATCTAACTTGAAACATGACTAACTAAAAAGAAAGACAGTATACAGTTATTATTGGACGTTCCATATAAACCTGTTCAGTATTAGTGAATCTTAACTTTGTTTTAGATTACACAGTATTGTGTATTTAGTTAACTACTGCTGTACTGAGGATAAATATGGAATTCAATTTTATTTGTTTTTCATTTGACCCTAAATCTGAAGCATGAAAGATGAATCGTATTATTTTGTACTGTTGATGTGTTTGTGTTATATATATATATAGTTTAGTGAATATTAATAAGGTATGATATAAGTAAAAACATTGGTTTTTGTAATTAAGAAAAAAAATCAGACATGTGTAAACTATGGAATACAGTTCTGGGCGTTTAACATTCCAAAGCTCACTCAGAAAAGTCATGAACTTCAACACCCTTTGCGAATTGGCAGTGTTTAAAAAAAAAAAAGAAAATAAATTTCTGTGTTAGTGCCATACAGCGACTCAACTACGTGAGTATCGTTGAAGTTTCTCGTGCCAAAAGCGTGGCACGAGAGTCAAGGGTGGTGTGAAGGACGCCAAGTTTCTTGGTTTGGTAACGAAAACTTGGCGTCAAGGATGCCTGAAACGTATCCAATACAAAGAAGAAGAAAACAGACCCTCTTTCGAATTCATCACGAAATATTACAGGCTAGTATATAAACAAAGATTGATTACCCATATTTTATTGGTTATCTGTTGTGAATAGTAACTTGTATAAAAATTACTAATCATACTTGGTAAGAAGCTAGATTTGTTTAGAAATATATTACGAGTTTTCAACTAAGAAATTTATGTATACATTTTTCTTGTTCTTGTTCTAATTCGAAAACTTTAAAACGTTCAACTGAAATGAAAGAGATGTAATTATGATAGTTCAATGAAAGATGTCATAGTAGCATTAATAATAAAATAATACAATATCGTGTACAGCAATTAGTGAAAAACCACAGTACACGAAAAAAAACTGGTAGAAGTCTGATATTACAGAAACTAGTTTCGACACACTTGTGCGTCTCACGTTGTTTTCTGGCAGGAAGTGTGGCCAAACAAAGAAAGTGATTTTGAAAGTGTTTTCAACAACCTAAATCAACTTCACTCAACTATCAA